GTTTGGGCAGAGGAACCCTCCCGGATCTTGGTTTAAAAGTAAATTGTGTGTCTGTTTTATTTCTAACACCTTCGGAATTTTCCCTGAGTGACCTTGAGTTAGCCATCTGTGCTGGACGCAAATGGCAGTGGTTCATCTTTACGTTAAAATTACAAAATGATATATAAAAGTGCCATTTTTAGAACTTATTTTTCTATATATGAATATAAATATATATGTGTATATATACATATGTGTGTATAAATATATGTGTCTATAAAAAATGATAACAATAGTTATCTGTAGACATAATCTTTTTCTTTTCTTGTCTGGATTTTTAAAATTTTCTATAATGAACATTTGTCATTTTCACAAAAATAAAAAAGTGTTAGAGTTGAGAACAAAGATTTGAAATCTTACAATGGCAACTATATGCAAAATACAGAAATGAAAATGAGAAGTTACCAACATCATTACTACACCTTTATATGAGAGCAAATTTACCCAATTTATTAAAAAATGGGAAGCCTTAAACCCAAAACCCACACGTACATTATTAAACAACTGGATAATGCAAGAGAAGGCAGAGCATTTGAAGAAATACTGAGTGGGAATAAGCTGAGAGAACTGAAGAACAGACCTCTGGTTAGTTCTGGATAGTGTAAAATTTTAGATAGCATCATGATTTATGCAGGTTTCATCAAAATGAAGCAGATAGACTGCTTTACATACAACCCGGAGGAAATGGAAAAAAATAAGTTAAAATGATGAAAAGACTGTATTACATTACAAATACATATTTAGGCAAACATTCTTCCCTCTGTAAGCCAATAGGTGCTAGGCCTAGAATAGTCCCTCCTCCCAAAACTTCCTTTTGTCTATATCCTCCCAGAATCTAATAAGAGGAAAAAACTTAACAGCAGGCACCCTCAGCCAGAGATTCAGAACCCAATACCTGGCACAGAAATTAACCAGTTCTTAGGTAACTTTCAGTTGAAAACCTTTATTCTTATCCAGACATCAGACATCTTTAAAAACCTATGAATGATCTTTCTCAAAAACTACCTATATATTTATTTTTGTTTTTTAAAAACTGGGAGGAGGTGAGGACACCTCTCTTTGGAAGGAAACAATTATAATATAGAATTATGTCCCTTCTGCACTATCCTTTCCCAGGTTGATGCTTAGAAGTTTCCACATTAAAAAACATTGTCCAAAACAGTTTTCAAATGTTTTAATTGTACAGACTGAGTTAAGTCAATTGAGACAAAACTCCTAAAAAAGTATATAAAGCAAATGACTATAATGACAAACAAGGGTTTCAACTGAAAATTATCTAAGAATCAATTAATATATATGCCAAGTGTCTGAAATAGTATCTGGCTGGGGATGTTGTTAATCTAAATTGGGCCTGAGAGAATGTAATTTCTTTAGCATTATCACTCAAAGGAAGTACTAATAACAATAGTGTTACTGTTAATTTCAATAGGTGACCACTCGCTTACCTTCTTAAGTGCAAATATATGCTCATTTGCCCAAGACCCCAGAGCCATGTTAAAATCCAAATTAATTCATTATGTTTATAATGAAAATGAATGTATATCCCAGTATATTAAACTAGTTTCATTCTTGAGCTTTCTAAATTGTCTGTCAAAAAACAAAAATGGGCAGAAATTAATTTGACCAATCCTGCCCATATTTACTGGCATAGAGGTAAAAAGCCATTTTGTCCTATGTGTCAAACTCAAAGACTGAAACAGCTTGCTGTCAGCCTCAGAAACCATTTTTTACAAGCATGGCACACTGCCTTTAGTCAACTAAACACTAAAGCATGTTGGGCTTCCCACACTGCAAATTATGTGGAATTCTCTCCACATTTTGTGGTTGCAAAAGCACTGTTTTGTGGATCACACAGTTCAAATTAAGGGCACATCTGACCTTAAACGGAAAATTCCCATGAAACAAACTATAATTGACCAAGATCCCATCGGCCTTGAAAGTCTGTGATCTCAGGCTCATAATCAAACATCTCAAATGTTAGTTTTTTTGAAAGCTAAAGACATAGTAATGTCAACTCTTTTAAACTTCTTATTGTGTTTCATATGAATTCTAAAACATCATCACAAATATGAATGTCATAATTGCAAAGAAAATGGGGGAGGGGTATGCCACCTGCTACAGTGGACATTTATAGCAAATATAAACACTTTTGGGGCAAAACCTAACAAATTAAGACAAAAACCAAAATTAGATGGATTATTCATCTAATTTCTAATTTTCATACATTTGCTGAAATGTAGTAGCTTCAACCAAGAAATGTGATTAAGAAATATTCCAAAGATGAGATAGTTTTCTTTACAGTGACTGCAGCATTGTATTATAGCATTAATGTAATACAAGCATTAATGCATTAATGGGTCACTCTCTGAAATCAAATGCTACTTAAGTCATGTTTAACAAAAAAAGTATCAGAACTTCCCCAAGATTTGCTTCTTATACTTTTGAGGTCTACTCTGTAAGTTCCAGACTTAGAGAATGAGTGCCTTCAAGGTCATTTCTGAAGTGCTAAAAGAATAAAACACTGTACTGTGAAGCAATTTTTTTCCTACAGATTCCTCTACTACAAATAAATTATTGAAGTTTAAAAAATGCCTAGTTCAGTCATCTATGGTGGAGTAATTCAGTCCATTTTAACAGATAAATATATGCTTAAGATTATTATTATATGGTTCCTGGTCGAAGCTTTCTAAGAATTCCAGAAAAGTTAGAAAACAGCATTTTTAACATAAATTGACCTAAATGCTAAAAAGTTGACAAGCCTTAATAAAAACTATTTTTAGCTTCTCATCTTTAGACCTGCTAGTCTTTTATTTTTTATAACTTTGTTAATTTTTATTATTTTTAAATATGGTGCTGAGGATTGAACCTAGTGCTTCACATATGCAAGGCAAGCATTCTACCACTGAGCCACAACCCCAGCCACTAGACCTGCTGTTCTTAGTACATATATATCATCATATCCCTGAATGGTTTTCACTGGGCTAGACAGACAAATATAGATGTAAGTGTGGTACAGTTATAAGACCTATATCAGTCCATGCATGTGTGTATGTGTGTGTGTGTGTGTGTGTGTGTCTGCATGTGTTTACACAGATGTAGTTTCAAAAAGAACCATTCATGAAACAATCATCCCAAATAAAATAAACCTATACGAAATCTCAAGGAACTCACATTAATCAAGGAATTCTAGGAATTAAATCACATCCATCTTTGAACCTCAAATTCTTACCTTCTACCCTGAAGTCCTAATGGTACAACAGTAACTGAGTTAGGATTTTTAAGTCTGTGACTTTTCTAAGCAAATTTTTCTCCAAAAATGTTTAGTTGGCTGCAAATTTTGGAAAAATGTTTGAGAAATTGAGGGATTTTGTTTGTTTTTAAGTTTCAGTTCTGGTATATTCTACAGCAAAGTGACAAAATTATACTCAGAATCAAAAATCTATGTCCCATATAAAATTTTACAATATTAATGGTTATTTTAAGATGTTTTCTTTCAAAATTTCCCCATTGCAAAAAAAAAAAAGATATTTCCCTACAATATCCTCTACTTGGGTAGTACGTGTCTTTCACAAACAAAATTACATGTAAAGCATATATTTGAAAATTTTAGTACTTCATGACACTCTTTTCTTCAAATAACTTCTCCCATTTCATTTGTATTATTCAAAGTAATCTGGATGATGTAATCAATGTGCCACAAAATTTTACCTTTGCAGTACTTCACAAAATAAAGGTACTTTTCATCAGCACCTCTGATTTGCAGCTGACATCAGATGTACACACTGTTGAGTGGAAAAGACAAACAAGAACAGACTGAAGTGGCCAGAGGCATAGGGTGTGAGTATATGGGGTTTTCTTCACCCATGAGAAACACAGAAAAAGAAAACTTACCCCCTTGTGTAATAAATGTACCTATGTATTAGGTTTCATATTACATACCTCATCCATGGATAAAACTGTCTGAAACAACATCAAATTATGCAAGAAAAATCAGGTTTTATTTGCAGTTCTTAGAAATGTTACTCCTAAAATTAGTTGGATCCTTCTTAATCTAAGAATGAAAAACGAATTCATCAATAAACAAAGAAAATCCTGTTCTTAAAGATATAGCTAAACCTCATCCTCTTACTGAAAAAAAACTTCATCATAGTACAGATATGCTGTATTTCATAAGTATCGAGGCTGAATATAAATATTTCATCAAAGACTAAAGGATCACTTTGAAAATTTGGGCCAGCCCTGGGGGGAAATTCTTTTTAAAGATGTTTTTGAAGGCTTTGTAAGTACTCTGAGATTCCAAGATATATTTTCTTTAAGAAAAAAGGAAAAGAAAAATAATTTTTTTTTTAAGAGGGGAGTCAGAAGCAAAATCAGGGCGAGGCTGAAAACCTACCAAGGCTAAAGACACATAGCTCCTCTGCAAGCTTAACCGCATGCTAAGAGGGAACCTCTTGGAACTGTTGGAGCTCGCAATGAGCCTTCCACCTGGGCAAACAAGGAGAATTTCGGCCAAGAGCGGCGAGACCACATTGTAAAAAGTTCAAGAGGAGTCGATCCCCTTCCTTTGGCTCGCAGCACTTCGCTTCTGGAGCCGGCGGCCCGGCAGGGAGCAGCTGGCACCGGGTGCCGGTCTGCAGCCACCAGCTTCCTAGAAGGCCTAACTGCTCCGGCCGGTAGGGGACCCGGCTCGGAGGCTTCGGGAGGCGAGCAGGCACCCGCAGGAACCGTGTCCCCGCCAGTTCCCTGTGTGTGGCGCTGGCTGCTGCAATGACTCCAGTCCAGCTGCAAAAATCTTACCGCAAACCCAAGCTGCTCTGGCACAACTTCAGTCTCAGCAGCCTCAATTCCCCCGCGCCCTCCGCCACACCGCACACCGTCCCCACCCGGAGGGTCATAGCACGCCCCGCCCCGCCCCGCCCCGGGCGGCTACCTGTCCCGGGGGCCGAGGACCCCAGGCTCACCTCATACAAAGGGCAGCGCGCGGGAGCCTCAGGAAGAGCCCGGGGAGCATGGCCTCATCCAGTTCCTCCAGGAACTTTCCTGACATAGCACTTCTCTCCTCCGCTGCTGAGAACAGGGCTTCCAGGCAGAGGAGGAGGACAACGATGAGGAGGCGGAGGTGGCTGTAAAGGCGGCGGTGGCGGCGGGAGCTGGAGCAGAAAGTGAGGAGCATCGCCGACAGGAGCCTCCGCCTCGCGATCTGCCGTGGGGTTCCCGCCCCCAGGGTAACCAAAGCTCCCTCTTAAAGGCGCCGGCCCCGTCTTTGGCCCGGAGGTGGTGTGGGGTGTGGGTGGGAGGGAGGAAAGGAGAACAGAGAAGGAATCTAGTAAAGAGGGAGGATGCTAGTAGAGATGGAGAGATACTGGGAAGCCACCGCCCCGGCTGTGCCCGGGCTGATCGCTGGCCCTTTTTGGCTCTTTCTCCTCCAGCCTCACTGGTGTCCCACATCTGGTCGCCCCTCCTAGGCAAAAGGCACCAAGGCTATGGCAAGTGCTTGGACCCCCGCGCGGAGCCACCCCAACGGCTGGCCTGCAACCCGCTACAGTTCATGGAACCTTTCCTTGTTCCTAACTGCGCACATTCCTATTAGGGTTTTTGACTCCCGCCCCCACCGCGGCACCACCCTTCCCCCAGCTCCCCAAAAGTAGGCGAACCCAGCCTGAGACTGCCCAGTGGAATTTTATTTCCCAAGGCTGCTTACCTTTCCTCCCTGGTTATTCTTCTCTGCAAACACTGTAATGAGGGTTTCACCTAAGAAGGAGCGCAGGAAAATGAAGACTAGCTGGGGGCCCTACACAGATCTTTGAAGGTGTTGCTGATGTGTGCCCTGCCTGAGAGACTTGCCAAGTGCCCTCCTTTACCCCATAGTAAATGACCACTTCCTAAGCGAACTTCAACTGGATTTCTAGAACCACTGACTTTCATGAAGGAAGACTGGCTGCAAAAATCGCCAAGTTGAACTCCAGGAGGTCACCCCAGAAAGATCCTGCCTTAAGATGTAAATGATGCTGCATGTGAAATGCAGTTATTAAGTTACACATGATATTGGTTTTCCAGGTACCTTCGTTTGTGATAACTATTGAGACCACAGCAGAGTGGGGATATCCAGGGGACTCACAATATCAGCAGCTATCACCACCCAACAGTAGCCCCAGGGTGTGAGTAGCAGAGGGTCTGCCACTGTCCACTGGCTTGCTTTGCTACCTCATTGCTTCTTAGTACTGTGGGCCCTCAGCAGAGTGTGGTACAACACTATGCATTTGCATTCTTCACTATGTCTTCTGAGTAGTGGACAGGTTATTTGGGGTTAAGGTACAGGCTAGGCTCCAAAGCACTGCTTCTAGCACAGAACTGAGAAGAAATGGTATTTTCTAATTCACACACAAACACTTACAGGCCTGAAACACTTTCAGGCCATCACAGGCCTGAAACTAGACCTCAACATCTTAGTTCTTCCCCTTCTGCCACCTATAGCTGTGAAGAAGTGCTTATGCTGAACTGTTAGAGGGAAGAAGGCAGAAAGAAAATATGCAAAATTGAAAGAAACTTCTGTTACCAGATAGAGAAGAAGTAAACTCTGGGCTCTATAAAAGCAGAAGACAGGAAAGGAGGTTAACAGTAAGCAAGATTGAAGATATCCTGATTTTATGATAAATGCCTGTATAGTATGGATAATTGGATGTGACAGGCACCCACCTCAAACTGACTTTAAGAAAACCTACAACAGAAGTGGCTGAAATTCACTGGCTCATATTTTCATAAATCCTAAAAGTATAGCACCTTTTTTTATTTTTCCTCCAGATGCCCAAAGACTATCAGAGTTCAGTTTCTCTCCCTATCTTAGCTGTGCTTTGATTATACTTGTTCTATTTTCTCTAAGCAAGGATAAGATCTACAGCCCCAGGCTTACCTCCAACCGCCTTGGCAACTGATCCAATCAGCAAGAGAGCAGACCAAGAATCTCTCTCCTGGAAACTAACCATTGTAACCATGAAGTGGAATGCACACTGACTGAAGTCATTTGCCTATGTTAGATGAACATCAAGTGAAATAGCTTAGTGTCCCATTATCCATATACAACCAAACTAGATAAACTGAGTAGAAAGTAAGAGGTTTTCCCAAAGGAAAATTAAAGTGTCATTAGCAAAGAAGGGGAATGAATATTGAGTAGATAAAAACCATAGATGCCCCCCATTCCCCAATACCCAACTGACTACCTATCTATCCCTTTTAGCAGTAGTCTAAAGATTGAAATGACAAGCATACCAATAGTCACGGAGTTGCAAGTAATTTAACCAGCCAACCATATCCTTTGACCTCAGGAGCCACTAGGAGGTCCTCAGTGATATTGAAAACATTCTTGCAAATAAACAATATGCAAGGTATACTTGTATTTGGTAATGTTTCCCTTTAAATTATGATAACAGTGGTGGTGCTTGCTTAGCATGTGTGAGGCACTGGGTTCAATTCTCAGCACCACATACAAATAAATAAAATAAAGGCCCATCAATAACTAAAAAATATTTTTTAAAAATTAGGATTACTCCACCAACATACATCTCAAACCTAAGGCCAAATCCATTGTTAGGCCTTATGTCATTGTAAACAATTCAACTAGATGAGTACATAAAAATTCCTTATTACAAGGAATTTGTTACAAACAATTCCTTATATTCATTCTACTTGAAAAAAAATATGACCCATAAATAATCTCATGTCAGTATCTAAGTGCCACAGGGTCCAATTTCATTTAAACAATTCAATGACTTCTTTTCAGAGATAGGATAAAAGAATTTATATTTTGGCCTACCAAAAAAATGCCAATTTCTACTTTTTTCCTGCCACTCAAGAAACTTTCTTGTAGATGCTAATCAAAAGAGTTTTATATTTTCTTCCTTAATTTGTAAGTTTTATAGAATTTCTTACATATCATATAAAACAGACATAAACCTGCAAGAGGCTTTAGAATAATCTAAAGGGAATCTTCAATAATAAAGGAATGAAAGTTCAAAAGTTGGCTTGTGTTGAGCTGTCTTTAGCATCTGTAGAGTGCCTGCCTTGAAGCATACAGAAGCAAAAACATAGAATATGGTCATTATCCTCAAAGAGATTAAATTTAGTCAAGGAGACATAACCATCAAAGACATAAAACAACTACAGAGCATAACAATACACCATATAATTTAGTATAAAAATGTGTGATGAAATCTCACATTAAAAATAGGTATGAGAACCCTGTTTCATAAATATATGAGATTTAAGACTATCCTCTGATTTTTGCTAGTACAGCTAACCCATGTACATATGTAATTATTGTTACTATACACTATGAGTTCTAAATTGTACTGTAAAATTTAGCTAAATGTAAAGATTAAGGTGAAACACTTTACTAAGTTGGTGTTATCCAAACTAAGATTATCTGTAGCAATAGTCTGGGGTTTGTATGGAATAACAAGTTTGTTTGGTATTTATTCATGTCATTTGATGTTTTATAGCTAGATTTGATAACCTGATGTGAATAAGTTATGTATACAATTTTGTGTTACTCTTCACACTGGTATTGGAATTTAAATGTATTTTTGAAAGGTAATAAGGAAAGCCTTATCTGTTTTAAGGCAACATTGTAAAACACGAAAGCATTTTGCCACTTTTTCCACATACAAAAAAATTAAAAGCTCCCTTAGCCTTTGGGGAGCGGGGGAAGTAGACATGAGAGGGGCTGGGGTTGTGGCTCAGAGATAGAGAGCTCCCCTACCACGTGTGAGGCCCTGGGTTTGATCCTCAGCACCACATAAAAATAAATAAAATAAAAGTATTGTGTGCAACTACAACTAAAAAATAAATAATAATTTAAAAAATAGGCATCAGAGTAAGAGACATTATGGACTTGAGTATTCTTGGAAACACTTTTTAGCAGGGAGGAAACTTAATAGCCTTTGGGGGGAAAAGCAGAGATAAAAGGAAGGGGCTTTCCAAGTGATAAAACAAAGTGAGAAGGCATTGAAGGGAAAAGATACTGACATTTATTGGAACATAAAGAAAACCTAGACTGTCATGTCAAGATTGTCATGGTTTAGAAAAATATTTCAGACAAAGTAATGAAATGATTTTAGAGGATATTACCATTATTGTCTGTTGTTGTTGATCATTTTTGTTTTTGTTTTCAGTGCTGGGGTTCCAACTCAGGACCTCATGAGTACTAGGCAAGTATTCTACACTGAGCTACTCCCCAGTTCCAGCCACTAATGTTTCAATTAAAATAAAATATCAGAATGTGTTCTACTTAATAGATTAAGAAATATTTGTTAGGCCAGGCATGGTGGAACACACCTGTAATCCCAGCAGCTCAGGAGGCTGAGGCAGGAAAATTGCAAGTTCAAAGTCAGCCTCAGCAATTTAGAGACCCTGTCTCTAAATAAAATATAAAAAAAGGCTGGAATGTGGCTCAGTGGTTAAGTGTCCCTGGGTTCAATCCTTGGTACCTATATATATATATATATATATATATATATATATATATATATATATAT